GCAGATGGATGGATGGGTGAATGGATGGATGGATGGCTGGATGGCTGGCTGGATGGATGAATGGGTGGATGCATGGATGGATGCATGGATGGATGGATGGATGGATGGATGGATGGATGGATGAATGGATGGGCAGATGGATGGATGGGTGAATGGATGGATGGATGGCTGGATGGCTGGCTGGATGGATGAATGGGTGGATGTATGGATGGATGCATGGATGGATGGATGGATGGATGGATGGATGGATGGATGGATGGATGGATGGATGGATTGATGGATGCATGGGTGGATGGAAATTTATTGTTAATTACACAAGTAACATATGACTAACCAAAATAAAATAAAATAAAATTATACAGTTTTGTAATAAATAAACTTTGATTGATAAAGTATTATATCTTGCCTTACTACAGGAATTAACGCTGTTGCCACATTATACAGTACGTTGATAAAGCTGTTCTGATCTGATAAAGAAGTATTATTAGGCGAGCCAGACAAGAGCGGTTAAATGTAAATATTTACGCAGATCAGCAATGCAAACGGTAAGCGTGTCTAATAATTTCGTTTCTAGGTTGCGGCATTTCATCGAAAGATGTTGATGTTGAAGCGGGGCAAGAGAAATCGGAATGGACAGAGAAGCGAAAGTGAGATATCTGCATTACATGTCGTCACGTTTAACATTAGCATAGCGTCTACTTGCTATTGCTACTGCTTCTGTATGTGTGTAGGTATGATGCGAGTAGTCAGAGTATGCACATATGATTGTTGCGGTGTCACGATTGCATTGCATTTAATTTTTTGCATTGAATATTCTTTAACCCGATGAACCAAGAAGAGCATAATCAGGATTGCCGTTGCTGCTATTGGTCCGCACTGGACTGGAAAAGATCCTAGCCCCGGGCAATGACTCCATTCCCTCAATCACGTGGCAACATTGTGAATACCACCAGTGTAATTGGATATGTGTAATATATGTGTATATGTGTATATTGACACTGTATTTTTCACTATATAAGTTAAAATTTGTTAAATTCTAAGAAGTAACATCTCAATGCAAAGAACTTCATTTAGAATTCCGACACTTTCCTAATAGCATCCGCTTGAAGCACACAGTTGCGAGAGTTCTGATAACATAATCCACGCTCATTATTTCCAGGAGCGAAAATCGATCATAGCATCGATTCCTGATCCCGACGAACCTGCATCTAATCAATACCTGAAGAATTTCCCCATTTTACTCGACAAAGCATATCCTTGAGTGACTGGCGTGGGTGAGCAACTCATTTGTTGCCTAATGCGGAATCAATGAACGTACCAGACTAATAAACGATCAGCTTCTGATGTGTGCAACAGATATGATGATGATTAAGAGCCGCCATTTTGCTTACGTAAACGATTCATGAGCATTGAAAATAATCTTTTTTTCACTCGTTAATGATAAATTGCTACATCTCGCTTCCTGTGTGGTCGCTACGTACGATATCAAGCAGCAGTCGTAACCTATAAGTAACTCGAGTAATTTTTTTTCGCTGGCAAAATAATTGCGAATCACACACAGAAGCTTTTCACACACAGAAGCATAGTTATTTTCGTGTTGTTTGGCGACAATCGTATCATCGTAAAGTGGAAAAGGGATGTATTTATTAGTGCTATTAGTAATTACCCTTTATGCAAATTTTTTTACGAATATACTTCCTATTCATATAAAGGTGACATAATAATTTCAGCATGAGAGAGTTAATAAGAAACATAACAATGGCTTCGTGGGTATAGCGTAACTAAACAGCTATTAAGTCGCAGTAAGAATATGGGGAAACGGGAAACGGTAGGAACCGATTACGACATGACATTTAATACAGACACACATACACGCGTACGCAAGCATACACACACACACGCACGCGCGCACACGCAAACACACACATTTTTTTCACAATCTCAGACAAAATTAAAAACTGTAAACTGCGAAGGAAATCACGATCCTGTCACTTTCGCACGCAATTATTATTTCTCAAAAGGAAACATAATTTTCTCTCTTCGACCTAATCAACGAATAAAAAGCGGCACCGAATAAAAAACACTAACAACTAACTATGTCAAACCGACTATTACTGTTGGTGGCACATTGTCCCCGCACGCTATCTGTATACCGCGTTATCTGGAGACCGGGTGTGTGCGTGCGCGCGCGTGTGTGTGTGTGCGCGTGCGCGCGCGCTTGTGTGTATGCGCGCGCGTATATGTATGTGTGTGTGCGTGCGTGCGTGCGCGCGTGCGTGCGTATGTGTATAATTTCCACTAGTACGTAATTTCACCTATACACGATCATTATGGTGTGCAGAAGTAGAGTTGCCATTGTTACGTCACGGAAATAACGATGACGTCACGCGCTATTAGCGAGTATGCAGATTAACCGAATATAGCCGAAATTATGCCGAATAAGCACGAAGCACTTGCGACGGTAGCTCTAGTACTACATCTGTCGTTGTCACAGCCACAGGCAGCTCTGCGACAGTGGCTAGAGGAGGGATGTGCTGGGAGGATCTGCTGCTGCGCCGGAGAGCGGGCGGCCGTGGGCGGAGAAGGGGAGAGCAGTGGGGAGGGAGGAGAGGGAGTCTCCTCTACGCCTTCAAACCGCCGGCGAATTTCTACGTTTGATTGGACGCGGGCGATGCTGCGTGCAAGCGATATTACGTGCGAACGCATCTCGCATTTCCCAGCGGCCGAGTATAGACGGGCACCGCTCGCTCGTCGGCGCGTCGACGGAACAGCGGAACAACAGAAACGGCGCCCGTCTACGTGCGGTTTATTGCGGCCGACAATTGGCGCTCAATTACCGGAAGAATATGGTTTCGCTGGTGGGAATTACGCGACTATTGTGTATCGCGCGTGCTACTCTCGCGGGCCGCATGCAGATCTACGGTCGTAAACGCGCTGATAAATGATGTTTTGTCGGCAATTGTTGTCGCATGTTGCCGCATGTTGCCAGGTGTTGCCAGTGTTGCCGCATGTTGCCGCACCTTCCCGCGCCGGTGTTCCCGCGTGTTGCCGGTGTTGCCGGTGTTGCCGGTGTTGCCGCGCCGGTGTTGTCGGTGTTGCCGCATCTTGCCGCATCTTGCCGCGCCGGTGTTCCCGCGTGTTGCCGGTGTTGCCGGGTGTTGCCGGTGTTGCCGCATATTGCCGCATCTTGCCGCGCCGGTGTTGCCAGTGTTGCCGGGTGTTGCCGGGTGTTGCCGCTGCTTGGTAGCGGCCTGATCGTGTTGATGCGTGCACGCGATCGAAGCGAATCGAAATCACGACGATTCAAAGATTTTTTCGACGAACAAAAATTTCGCTGCAGCGCGTTTTCCTTTTAGTTCGCTTCGGCGTCGTTTTTCCGAATGTATTATTCATTTTTTATTACCCGAGCGCGCACACCTGCAGGCGACACTCGGGATGGGAGGAAATTCGTATGAATGTCGGATGGGTGTGCTGAATAAAGGGCAGAAATGATGGGAAACTATTACGGTACATCTACGTAATGATACTGCGAAAATCGACTGCGAGTTTTCAATAAGGGTTATAACCGTTGGTGCGATTCAAACCGCATTTATTTCGAGCTCCCTATTTTACATGCGATTTGAGCCATTGTAGATAAACGCGTTTTACTTGTGTATGTCGTACAAGTAGCAGCAAATATTGCGTCTAATGAAACTACATTATAGACACTCCGGCGTTTAAGCGTTGTGTCGAGTGGTCCTATTACTATAATGTCAATGTAATTTGTGTGTGGCAAGCCCGCTATAGAAGGCATATCGGATGACTTCCCTTCATACGGACAAGCATTTCTTACAGTTAAAGACATTCATATACGTACCTGGTTACAGACAAGCATACATATCTGGTTATGTATGCACCCCCCCCCCTTGCTTGCGTGTTTGTGTGTGTGTGTGTGTGTGTGTGTGTGGGTGGGTGTGTGTGTGTGTGTGTGTGTGTGTGTGTGTGTGTGCGTGTGTGTGTGTGTATGTGCGTATGCTGCGTTGCCTTCCAAAAACGTTTCGTCGAAAAGCGGAAAATTTTACCGATTTCTGCCGCTTGACTATAGTTCACCGTTAGTGAACGTCGGCGTCATTGAGAGAGATGTTGTGTAACATGCATGCTTGTAAGTTTTAACAGTAAACATTTGTTTGAATGGTGTTAAAAATGTCGTCTGTCGTACAGCGGAACACATGCTCATATAACTACACAAATGAATGACAAAATAAAGCAAATATCACAACGAGACATGTATCTCGTGACCGTGATTTTTTTCATAGCGGGAATGGTCAGAGCAGATATTAGTTAATAATATACTCCGTACATACGGGCCGTATCTATACAGTGTCACAGTACAGCATAAATAGCTCGAGTGTGATCAAGTCGCAATCAAAACCGCTATATATGTAACATTTATTTCAAGCTATCACTCACCTAGACATGTCATAATAACGGCCAGCGTGGCTCTGCTTTATCATATAGATGATGCTCATCAAGCCATACACATCATTGCGACTGCGCATGCGCGGTAGTGATATAACATAGGCAGTCGCTTGGGAAAAATTATTGTGTTTGACTTCGACCATCAATATTTTAACATGCTGGGTGGTGTCTATGTCATTGGCGAATGTATATAATAAACGGGTTGTGCAGATGTGAAAGGAGGCGAAGCAAGCAATGTGAGACTCATAATTGCAGTTATATGATCTCATATAAATACTATATATTGTTCGCGTGTTTTGTGTGTTAAGTCTCAAGCAATGCGCCGAGCGTCGCAGTTTCCTTATACGTACATTTATATTATGCATTATATGTATGTAATAATATTTTAATAATGTACATCTCATATTCTTTGATTGTTCATGACACATAGTCCCCCCCCCCTATTTCTCTCTCGCTCGCTCTCGTTTCCTCCCATTCTCTCGCTCGCTCTTTCTCTCTTTCTCTCTCTCTCTCTCGCTCTCTCTCTCTCTCGCTCTCTCTCTCGTTCTCTCTTATTCTCTCTCTCTCGCTCTCTCTCTCTCT